TTTTTTTTTTTTTTTTTTTTTTGGTATTTGCCATGGTTCAGTAGCAGACGATCAGAGTGCTGATTTATGTGTTTGGTTTGTGTCACAGTCCTGATGTAAGTTAAGGTTAGACTGGCAGCTTCGAGCTGGCGGATCAGACGAATTTATTAGAATTGAATTATATTTGAATTATGAACTGGGCTCTAATTGGGATGTTAGACAGTGCCGAATTTATATGTCTGACCGTAAGTTAGGGCTCCATTGATTCAAGCGAAATTTAAGCTAAAATTTCAGTTTCAATTAAATCGTGATCGAACACGCGTGTAGAGCCTAGGTCTGCAAACCTAACCTAAATTAAACTCAATCCAAATTGTAGGCCTCCGATCTAGGCAAAGTTCGAATGAAACCAACATTAAATCTACATTAAATTCAAACTTCAATTATATCTACATTAACTCCCTATAATGAGTTTCCCATTAAATATAAATACCGCTAAATAAATCGTTCAATTTCGACAAAAGCAAGCTTGTATCAGGACCAAGTTACTCTCTCTTCAAACATGTCTAGATCAGTCTTTCAATTTTAACCTGGTATTTCAAATTAAATCTGCAATATATATAAACAAATGAATCATATTTCTCAAGCAGCGACGTCCGTTATTCGTTTCCACTCTTCTTCTTCTTGTAGCCGAAGCTACGACTAATCTACCCGGACTCCTCAAGGGCTATGTACTCCTTTCAAAGGAGTAGGCGACTTTTGATTTCGACTTTTTCTTTAGTTCAGTGGACGAAGGGAGGAGCGAGAGGGTGGCAAGAGTGTCTGCCGCGCAGGGGTGGATCGAAATAGACCTGGAGAGGCTTTCTTCTTGCTTACACGGGGATACTTCGACGCGGGATTGACTCTCTGATGAGGAGTCGCTCGAGGAACTGTTGACAAAGGAATTTTTCCGTTAGGAAGTGCCGTTTATGCGACACGTAGGACCAGCCTCTGTCGAGTATGTGGACCGAGCCTCGAGAACATCTCTCGACTCTTCACACAGGACCTATTAAACCATGATGTATTAATTTTCTGGCTGATTCTTCCACTATAATTTGAATTAATTGAATAATAGGAGTCACAGCGATCGAGTTGCAAAATTGGAAGATGCTTGACATAATCTTAAAAATGATAATCTTACTTATATCATTCTGAGTTAATTTATCTTGGAATCTGTATTAATTGTAATTATTCAATTATTAATTAAATAATAATTATGTCACATTGTATGTGTATGATTTATTTTCTATGTTTCCAAAAGCAAGTGACTTACCTCTGAAAGTTTGTATGTTACAAGTAGATAACATGAGTAAATAAAGTACCTGTAACATCATCACGTTCCCCCAATTTTTAATTAATCCATCAACTGATCAATATGGCAATCTCATTAATTTCCAATTGGATTTTCCTTTCTAAACGAGGCAGGTTACTTTTTCTACGCTATCTTCATTGTTTTGGCCCCTGTTGGCGAAATAAACGTCAAAGAGCGCGAATAATCCAGCCTAAAGCCTCCGCGAAGGCCAGAGCCCCTCTTGACTCCTGGCTCTGCTCGTGTGGATTTCGATTTTTGTTGTTTGACTAGTCACAGAGGGTTTTCGTCTAAAGGGAAATTTGGTGCACGATGATGGGCGTATATATTGGCACTTCTGTTGATCAGTCACCAAGACTAAGAATCTAAGAAAAGTATCACACATAGAACAGAATGACTCTCTTAGGTTAGACAAGTGCAAGAAGATCCAGATATTTACATTATAAAACACAGTATTAAAAGTCAACTAATTGAAAGAAACGATCGACAATGATCGACCCAGTTATCCTGCTAAGCCCAAATAAATAGCTCGCTGCTATTTCATCCCTGGGCACACGGTTCATATCCTATCGCATAAGAAACACCAAACACCTGCTCCAACCCCTGCAGCGCTGCTAATCATCCAAATTCGCTCGTACAGTGATTAAACGAAGGGCAGAATCTCTCGTTAATCGCTCAGAATTAATCGGCAAGTGGATACAAAGACAGATCAACCGATAAAGACAGACAGACAGAGAGAGAGAGAGAGAGAGAGAGAGAGAGGAAGCAGAGTTAGCTATTCGTAGCGAGTAGTTCCCTTTGTCACGGCAACATCAAAGGTGAAATTTCCGGCTGATGGAATCTGTGCCCGACGTGGCTCCTAAGGAATTGTCATCCCAAGTATCCCTCCACCGCATCTCTTTTACCTACCAACCCCGTCCTGATCAAACGAACTCACCTCTCGCTCTCACTCACCTCTCGCTCTCACTCGCTCCCTGCCAAAGTCAAGGGGGCTAATTAATCCATCAAACCAAACACGATAAACGAAGACTCCACGGCTTTATCAGTCTTTCTCTCTGTCTTTCTCGCTTTTTCTGTGAAATTTCATCACGTGAACACAAACCTATTGGATTATAGAGACACCCCATACGAACACAGTCTTAATCCAAGCCTGGAGGCCTTAAAGCGATCAGACATTGAGAGTACGTATCGAATGAGAAGAGAGAAAAAAAGACAATTGGATCTTATCAGGATCGTGTCTCTCCCTCTCTCCACCAAGGGGGAGAGGAAGAGGAAGCCCTGTCGCCCTTTCGCCTTCCGATGGGGTCACTGAAACGCGAAATGAAAAAGAAGAAAGAGAAAGAGGGAATCTCTCTCGCAGGTGTCATCGCGGTAACCCCATCATCATCTTCGGTGTCTGGACAGTCGGTTAATTTGGTCGTCGGTGTTGCTTTACGGGAAATCGTACACCGATTCTATGAACGAAGCCAGCCAGATGCCAGCCGCCATCGGCTACCTGCTATGCCTGCTATCGGTGGAAAGGGCAAACGGTGTCATGTGTCTCGAGTTGCCCCCTCAGGGGGTCGTGGCAATGGGAACCTTCGATGACAAAGAGAGACACGCGAGT